GAATTGAACTTCCAGTCAGAATGCACCTGTCATTGGGTTTTGAAGGCAAAGCTTGTTATGATTATGAGCGTAAGTATCAAGTATAAAAAAACAATTACCGTTAAGTTGTTTGCATTTTCAAGAAAGCATGTGTTCCTTGGTAATGTTAGTACTTAATTAAAAACTGTATTTTGTTGATGTTTGAAATGTAAACTTTGTTAAGCTTTTATATTAACAAGAATAATCTCTCAGAGGATGGAACCAATCGTTTGGGTCTCAGACTCACTAATTTTCATGGGATGAGACCCAGGGACCGACTAATGAAAACTTCTGACAAAATAACCAACTAATAGGTTTTTGTTTGCTTTTTTTAGCCGTGGACAGCTTGGTCGTGGATTAATAGTTGAAGAGCAAAGTTCAGAGGTTGTTCCAGCTCTGGAAGGAATCAGAATGCTGTTTATAGCAGCAGGTGGCTGGCATTCAGCAGCAATAAGTGGTGAGAGAAGAGAAGCCAAATATTCAATTGGAATAACCTAAGTACATTTTCTAATGTTTGCTGTATAATCAACAGGGCAGGAAAATTAATATTGCTCCCCTCTGGTCACTTTGACCTTAATTGGCCAGATGTAGGTAGAATTAGTGCTTTTTGGAAAGGACGTGTCCATGTTAGCACGCTCCAAACGTTTTTGTCATGGTTTTCTGATTTTTTCCTTTAATAAGAAAATTATTCCAAATTCCAGAGCTGAAGGACTTTTACTTATCTTTGGTTAGAAAATTCAACTTACACTCCTACTGCTTCACAGTAGAATCCTCAGATATAAGACTCCACAGGTAACACATTTTTAATAGTTTTCTTCTGTCCAGTAAGTGTTGATGGATTATGAACATGTAAATCTGTGGTATTTGTTTTTTGAGCTGAGTAGATTTTCTTAAGTTTGATTTTTTCTTTTTGTGTTGCTGTCAGAATTTGGTGACCTCTACATGTGGGGATGGAATGAGAAGGGGCAGCTGGGTTTGGCTGTCAATCCAAATGACACACTGTCGTCAAGTGGTGGCCAGGTTCAATGTCAGACAGTGCCAGTTCCTGTCAGTTTTCCAGATGATTTAGAGGTACTGATGGTCAGCTGTGGATCAAGGCACACAGCAGCAGTTCTTGGTATGAGGAGGGGGAAAGAATGAGCTTGGTTGATAGAATGGTAGGGGAGGGTTTTAACACAAGTTGTACATCAGGCACTGGAGCTCAGAGATTACTCTGACTATATAGCAGAATATTCTAACTAAATTTCAATTGCTCAATCTATTTTTCATTCAGGAGTGGGGAATATCCTTGTTACTTTTTGCAATTC